CTCTCACTAGAACTGTTGTTTGATCTCTTCTGGTAAGATCCTATGAACTGTGTACCGTGGGGCTGTCTTTACTGCACTCCTTGCTAAACCTTAAACCCTAGGTTAGCTACTGACCCATGTAGTCCGTATCTGTTTTTGTTGTCGTGTGTATTTGGGCTTCCTGTGGATGATGAAGTGGTGTTCTAATGGTCCTTACGTTTTGAGATACTTGGTGTCCTAATGGATGGAGTGTTACGGAATTGGTCTGGGATTGGTAGTGGGATTAGGTCTTTTTTTTTTTTTTTTCCCTCCACAGTGATCTGACCTCTCTCTTCTTCCCTACGTAGTCTTTGTTTTAGTCCCAATTTTTGAAAAGAATTTTGCCCTTTTTTATTTCTGCAAATTTATTTTCCTTTAGCCATGTTTTTTCAAATATCCGCTGTCGTACTTCCCGCTTCTCAGGTTGGATGACTTTCTGTTGCGTTTTTTGTTCTCTCGCCCATTGGGCTCTGATTTCCGTTTGCGTTATGTCTTTGACCTCGGACCATTTTTCTTCCAAACTGGTACTTTGGTCCGTTAAGGTGCCTTTACATCTTGCCTTCCAGGTTACCCATAGGGTTGCTCTTCTCAGCAGGTCAGCCAAGTCAACATCTTCTTCTTCGAGTTCTTGCTCTTCCTTCCTTCCTGACAGTAAATAAATCATATCAGACGGGTATGACCGATCTGTTATTTTTACCCATAATGCTCTTGTTCTGTCCCACAGTTCCTTAGCTCTTTGGCAATGTACTAAACAATGTGTTAGTGTTTCTTCTACCTCCTCGTTGCACATTTTGCAGTAGGTGTCCTGTTGTTGGGTGTCTCCTTGCTTATTTCTTCTCCTTCCCAGCCATTGGTTGACTGGTACTGCCCAGTATATTATCAACCATTGCAGRCTTCTGATTCTCGTTGGTCTTATACCAGTATAGTAGTTCCATGGAATCTTGCCTGTCCATTCTGCCTTTTCACCCAAATTCTTCTTCCATCTCTCTGATATAACCTGTTGGGGTTTTTTTGTTTGGTTTATTAGTCTGTAGCCTGTTTTGACTTCATAATCGTAGATTGCAGTGAGTTTCCTTGTTCCCGTGTTGTTATTAGGGATCAGCCAACCCAATTCCACTGGATCAACTTCCAAATCCTTCATGTCTTGCTCTGGTTTATAGATCCAGGTTATCTTTTGATTTTGGTTGTTGTTCAGAGAACCATTGCAGCTCAGTTTTGGAGAACCTGTTCTAACCTTGTTGAGGCTTTGGAGATCGATTATTAATATTTGTGCGATAATTTTGCCCGGTTTAGCCCAAGTTTTGTGTGGGTCTATTAGCTCGAATGAGACGAATTCCACCTTGTTTTCTTCTGTGTCCAGCATTTTGACTAGCTTGAACGCTTCCGTCGGAAGAATCGATTGTTTTCTTGTTGCCCAGTCCCCTATTGACCAGAAGCCATTTCAGGGGGACACTTTCCAGTATGGATTCCAGTTGTTCTTTTAAGTTGTGTGCTCCCTTTAGTTTCGTTCTGAGTTCCTGTGTTGTGATCCATCTGATTTCTTCCGAATTCCATATGTGTTCCACTTTCCAGATTCCGTTACCTATCCATTTTCTCCACTTCCTACCTTTAGAGTTTAGGGACCATGGTCTGCTGTTCTGATCTGTTAGAAGGGGGTTCCCAAACAGGGGTTGTTTCAACACTTCTTCTCTGATCTGCAGTGTTCTTATTTTCTGAGGGAAGCACTCCCTCCAATGTGTTATGAGCGTGGTCCAGTGATCGCTCGGTGGGTCGCTCGTCTCTGTCTGTCCCCCTCTTCCTTTCCTTCTGGGAGTCCATGCCGGGTTTAGAATCCAGTGGTAACCCTCTATTGATGGGTCTACCCTGAAGGGGACTAGATTGCGGATTTGGTGGAGAGCCATGTTGTGCCATGGTAGTTCTTTGTTGAATAATAGCTTGATTATCCATTTTACTTGAAGCGCTTGGAATTGAGCTTTTGGGTTCAAGATTCCTAGCCCCCCTAGTGCTTTGGGTCTGGTGATATATTTCCATGCTACTTTGGAAATATAACGCTCTGTCCGCTTTCCCCGTCCAGAGGTAAGATCCTATCTTTCTCTCGAGTCTTGTGAAGAAATTTTTCGGCGGGTTCCAAAGAGAGGCCACGTACCAGCCCATGGACAGGATTGATGTGTTTAAGACTAAAACCCTTCCCATGAGTGAGATGTATGATGCTTGCCACCCAGCTAGCCTATTCGTCATCTTGATGAGCAGACTGACTCCTGAGACTTCGCTTACTCCTTCTGATGATACTTGGATCCCCAGGAAGTGTAAAGGCTGGCTTGCATCTAGCCATTGCAGTCCCTGGGTGTCTTGGGATTGTTGTGGAGGATCTGATTGGGCCAACCACCATCCTACTGTCATGATCCAATTAATTTTCATTTCCGACGCTAGTTAATGCTTGCATCGCTTTTGTGAGGGCAAGGAAGGTAGAATCAGTAGCTCTTATTAGTACTGTCAAATCGTCTGCGAACAGCATTACTGTGGGGATGTCTATTGGTCTTCCTTCGTGCTGGGCTGTGAGTCTTTCTATCGAAGGGTCCTTGCGTAAGAAGGCTGCTATCGCCTCCATTACAAAAAGAAAGATCGGTGCTGCTAGCGGGTCCCCTTGCCTTACGGATCTGGTCATTTTGTATTTCTGTGAGAGGTGGCCGTTGACTTGGACCGCTCCTCTGGCATCTTTATAGAGTACTCTTACCCATTTTCTAAAGTTGGGGCCCACCCCCATTTTTTCCATGCTTTGTTGGAGGAATTCCCAGTTGACCTGGTCGTACGCTTTTTCAAAGTCGAAGAATAATATAGCTGCCTGCACTTTTTTATCCTTTACAAGCTTGACTGCCTCATTTAGGCAGACCATGTTGTCTAGAATGTATCTTCCTGGAATAAAGCCTGTTTGGTCTAGATGAAAACATTTGTCCGTGACATTTCTTATCCTGTTCGCTAGGGTTTTTGCTAGAATTTTATATATCACTGGGAGCAAGGTTATAGGTCTGTAAGTTCTTATGTCTTCTTTTTCTCCTTTTTTATAGAGCAGGGTAACGACTCCTGTGCTGAACTCTTCCCCTACGGTTCCTTTGGCAAAGGCGTTCTTAAAGAACGTGGAGACTGCGTCCCCTATTGTGTGCCTCTATATTCTTGCTATCCAATTTTCCTATCTCTATCGCTCTACCCCTACCGTCTGACTACGTGCCATATCCAAAGTTTCTTCTTTATTCCTGTTTGAATAAACTTTTACGGCTTTATCTGCTTATCCCATTATTCCTTATTACCGAACCAATGGAAGACCAGCCTTTTCCCTTCTACTGTTGCTATCCTCCCTTCTGCCAACGTTAGCTGGTGGAAAATTTTAATTATCTCCCGGGCCTGCTCCGGGTTTTGCTGAGCTTGCCTTCTTTCTCTTTGCCATTGGGCCATGATGTCCGTCTCCAGCAGGTTGTGCAGGACTTGCTTTGGCCTCCAGCCTGTGCATGTCCCTTTCCTATCGTCAGTTGGCATCTACGCTTCCATATAGTCCATAATGCATATTGTCTCAGTAATTGAAAACCCCGTCTCTGCCCCTGTTGCCATGCCTTCGGGGGCTCCATGCCCGTAAGAAGCATCCTCCTGTCCTCCGGGAAGGACTCATCCGAGATCTTTGCAAACAGTTCCCTGGCTGAATCCCATATGTATGCCGCCTCCGGGCATTGCAGCAGACAGTGAAGCAGCGATTCGATACCTTCGTCCGTGCAGAGGTGGCACTTCTGGTTGACCTGGTCCCTCTGGTGGTGGCTTCGGCGCTCGTAAAGCCAGGCATTGACTGGGAGCGCCAAGTGGAAAATCAGCCATTGCAAGCTTTTGACCCTACCTAACCTTATGCTGTTCAGTGTTGACCACGGCAGGCGAGCAACCTGTGCCCTAGGCACTTCCAGCCTCCTTTCCCATCGACTAGCCAGAGAATCTGCCAGTGGGTGGGACCTCCTTCATAAGGTTCTGTTTTGTTTTGAAAAAAAAATGAAAAAACGCTTGGGAGGAGTCTCCATGGGTCAGTATGGGGGAAGGCTGGGAGGGAGGTGAGGGAGTAAGGGAGGGAGCGGATGCTGGCATCATGGTGGACTTGGGCAAAGGGATATGCTAACAACACTGATGAGGATGACAATGGAGAAGGAGGAAGTTCATTCACACAGACAAGAGA